ATATGTGACTTTCCTTATTTGTATAAATTTAAAATGTTTTTTCCTTCAGCCTTAATGGGAATGGATGAAAAGTAGGAAATAAATTTAAATCATGGTCCCTACATGTAATCTCATTTTGGGAGGTAGTAGCAAGAAGATGAGAAATTCAAGTCATTCCAGGCCACAATGTGAATTTCAGGCCAGCCATTCTGGGCTGTGTGCCATGCTATCTCAAAAAAAAAAAAAAAAGAAGAAAAAAGTCACAACTTGTCAACAAGGGTTGCTTTTAGAACTTGATTAGTTATGAGTAAGAATCTTCCTAACTTGACAATAAATGTTAGTAACAGCAGATTTGCAAGTGTGACCAATTTTCCTAGTTTATATTTTTTTGGTTGCCCCACAAAAGAAATAAAACCAAGAGATTTATTGGAAGGGTGTGCTCTAGTAATATTTTTGTTTGTTTGCTTTAAGACAGGGTTTTTGTGTAGCCCCTGGCTGTCCTAGAACTCACTGTTTAGACCTGGCTAGCCTTAAACTCTAATGAGAATTCATGTTTCTGCCTCCTGAGCACTGGGCTTAAAAGTGCACACCACCATAGAAGCACTGTTTTTAAGTGAGTAGACAGATTTTGAGATTTTTACACAATTCTTTAAAATGAGTTATTAACTAGTTCTACTTCTTCCTGTAGAGATTTACTCAGTTAGTAGCAGATGATATTACTTATTTATCCCAAGTATTCCAGCAACCTATTTTTTTTTTTATGTTTTCATTTTGGACAGTATCAGCTGATAGGCAATATTATTTCTCCTTACTCCTGATCCTTTCAAATATCAGTAAATTTGTCTTCTTCCAAAATTACTTTCCTTGTCTCTATTTTCCTGTCTCCTACATTCTCATTCATTCATAGTCTTTCAATCTCGCATCCTGCCCTGAAACAAACGTTCAACTCTGGAGTTGGATGCTCTTGGTCAAGTTTCATAATCTGTATGTTTCACTGCCCATCTCTCATTCAGTATTTTCCTCTCAGTTATTTGTTTGGGAAATTGTTAGTCCCACAAAGGTCGTATTACTTTTTCTCTAAAATGAAATAATTTTCTTTAGATACATAACTACAGAAAGGTATAATTTACACACAACAAAATGCTTTGAAATTAAAGCTTAAGTTTGATGCATTTAACAATCTATATCCTTAGAGTCAACAAACAGTTTTTGTCAGCCCTCTACCACAGCGACAGAGTATCTGAAAATCATCTCCAGGGTTGAGAGAATCACAGAGTGAGAGGTTTCAGTGCAAGAGTGACTGGCCTCATTGCTTTGGACCTGAGGAGAGATTAGATATTTACAGGGAAGAAAATACCTTGTTTCAGAATTAGAAGAATGCAATCAAATACATCTAGAATTTTTTTTAATTATAAGAATTTTAGCCAGTTTTGGTGAAGTATACCTGAGTGGCCAGTGCTTAGAAAGGAAAGCTTCAAGTTTACATATCAGTACTTGATTATATAGTTATTGAGTTGTAATGGTACAAAATAAGTGCACAATTACACACTGTGGTTGTGAAAATCCTGTATGATATTTTGTACTGAAAATATAAATTATTCAGTACAGTCTTAGCCATTGAGCATATTAGGTGTGTTCACAATGTTTGCGTCATTACAGTGACATGTGGCTGAAGAGTTCTTCATCTCTTTGTAGCCTGGAAGCAAAGAACATGTTATGAAGGGACCAGGACTAGATACATTCCCCAAGGACAGTCCCAGTCAGGACCGACTGACTCCCTTTAACTGGGTCTTATCGCTAAAGTTTCTGCTAGTTCCAAGTAAGCCCTCAAATTAATGAACCTGCTAATAAACTAGTCCATTTATGAAGGTAGCGCTGTGATATCCAGTCACTTCCCCTAGGCCCCCACCTCCAAGCATTGCTTCAGTGGCAACAATAAGAGTGTTCAACTTAAGAGTCATCGGAGAACAAATCAGATCAAAACCATAACACCATATAACAGAACTAGACCCATGCCAAAGTAAATACTAGCTCTATATGGTTCTTGAGAGTTGAAAAATGGAAATTTGCTGTGAGTTTACAATACACACTGGATTTCATGTAGTACTATAAAAAGCAAACAATGTAAAACCCTTTAATTTTTATATTGGTTACATATTAAATAATATTTTAGTTATCAGGGTAAAGTAGACTGTTGAAATTATTTCACTTGTTTCTTATTTTATGATAAGAACTGCAAATTAAAGGTTATATATGGGACTCATTATAGTTTGTACAGTAGTACTGGTGCAGAAAATTCCACTGCCTTAAGACATTTGCTTATGGCTCAGCCAGCTCTGGTTCTAACCCTTCAAGAGGGAGCCATTGCCACCATCACTTGGCCTGTTTGGGAAAAATGAACCATTTACATATGCACACAGTTTGAGCAAAGATTTCATTTTTTTATATGACATTTTTGAGGTGTGTCTATACTTCGCATATCAGGAACTCATTTTTTTATCTATAGACTAGATTTTCTAAATTAAATCTCCATGTGACACGTAGCCGTGTCTCTGCTCTTTGTGGTTTTCTCTGAATTGCATTTTTCCATTTATAAATACTGTATGTTTTCCTATGTCATCTTTACTTCCTTAGAATTTAGTTTCATTTCATTGATGGATAGAGACTGATTTCCTATTTGGTAAATTAAAAGATTAAAGAGAAAGACCAAAGAAGGTTGAGATAAAGGCATTACTTAAATATTACAGTTTGAGCTTTCTTTTTCCTAAGTGAAGTGAATCTTTGTTTTCACTCTCTGCTCCATATGGCAGGTTGGTTACAGTTTAGATAAATCTTGGAGCTAAGTAGCATAGGTCTATTGAGTTATTTTAAAGTTACCTGTGATCCTCCTGCTTCCACTTCCTGTAGCAAATCTGACTGGCATGAGCCACCACAATCCTGCTAAATGATAAGCCACCCAACATGGAACTTGAACACCATGACCCTGAAATTAAGAGTCACGTGGTCTTCCAGCTGAGCTAGCTGGGCTTCCCTAACCCAGAATCTTTCTGAATTGTGCAAATGAAAAATTAGTTTTCTCCAGCAGTGTTTCACTAGGTATACAAACCATTCTTACTGGCAAGCCCCATGCCTAGCAGTAGGTGATAAATACAAAATGAACTCTGACATTTTTGGAGCTTCTTTGTGTCATAATGCATATAATGCTGCTGTCAAGCTCCGCCCCCCCCATTACAGGTCCTTTTCATATATATTATGGTTTCTGGTTTTGTGCTTTTATGGAATTTCTGTGTGTACAAAGTGCAAGCATGTGTATGTGTGTCTAAATGTGCTTATTGTACTTTTTCTTTGACTCTTCTTCTGTTTGTTTTCATCTAATTTTTGTTATTTTTATTTTTTTTTTAGATGTTTGTATTATAATGAGAGAAAGAAAGGGTATAGATCTGGGTTGGTGGGAAAGAGCTGGAAGGAGTTTGGGGAGGGGAAATCTAAATCAATATATTGTATGAGAAAAAAAATTTATTGTCAGCAAGCAAGAAAGAAAGAAGTTGCCTACTTCTTAGGTGCTTTGTTAAAGGTAACCAACCCTTCAGGTTGAGTTGGTGCTGTGTGCTAGTTTTCCTAGTGACCCTCAGCAGTTTATTGTGCTTCCCTTTTCTGTGTTATTACTTGCTTATATGGATGTGTACCAAAGCAAAGGAAGCTGGCAAAGAGTAGTAGAAGAATATTTTTAAAAAAGAACTGGAGAGAACCCTATGTGCTAAGTGAGAGGCAAATATGTAGCTTTTCCTGAGTGAGCTTTTCAAGGACATGGGTCTCCTGAGTCAGCATCCCATACCATTCTGTTTGTTTTATTTTAGTGTCAGTATGTGGCAGAAAACAAAACAAAACAAAACCTCTTATGTGGTTATACTTTATTTTAGACAACTCCCTGCACTTCTTGTGGCGAGAAATTGTTACACCTGATGGTTTGAAACTCTACTATAATCCATATACAGGCTGGTAAGGCAAATCTTATTTGCTGATTTTTAAAATATATGCAGTAAAATCTATGAGATTTTTAGCACATATTCATGGTCTTGAGGAATGCTAAATTACTGTGTATTTCTGTAGCTAGGATAGACTCAGAAATAAAAGCCCTTGTCATTTTTCATGCTAGACAAAAGCTGCTGAGTTATCAAGACTGACAAAATCTTGTCATGGCTGGACATGGTGAGCCATGTGCTTTAATCCCAGCACCTGGGGAGGCATGGGCAGGCAAATCTTTGAGTTGGAGGCCAGTTTGGTCTACATAGAGAGTTCCAGGCCAGCCAGGGCAATATAGTGAAACTCTTATCTCCAAGAGGGAAAGAATAAAGGAGAGAGGATATTTATATCTCAGGTACTAATGTTATTTTGTTTATAAAAGGCCAACTTTTACAATTTTCATTAAATTTATCAGTTTATAGATTAAAGAAAAATAAGATTCTTTAATCGTAATAAATAAATCAGTATTTATTGTCTTCTGTATTTTTTAGTCACATGTCCATAAGGACCTAAAAGGAAAAAGTGCTTCCTTCTAAAATGTATAAAATGACATATATGTATTTATTCTGTGGCTAGGGAAGGAGAGGTGCTATGGCGTACCTGTGAAGGAAGAGGACAGCTTGCAGGAGACTCTTCTTTCCTTTCATGTTTGTCATAAGGCTTGGTGGCAAGCACCTTCTCCTGCTGAGCCATGTTGCCAGCCTGCATAACATTTCTCTTTAATTATAGAATAGACAAAATGTTCATTATGTACTACACCATTCTTATTTCTGCACTTAGTTGTCTGCTAGATTATTGTTATTATTTCACTCCTGTTACCTATGATTAGTAATTTGAATTGTTGTCTCCTAAATGAAGTTTCAATAAACTTTAAGTTTTATGCATTTCTTCTGTTCTCTTTGGGAATACTAATAAAGGACAGCATAACTTTTATTTAAATTCTTGGACTGTCTTTTCTCTTAGCATCATTCGTGATTTCCCACATGCTGGACCACAGTTGCTTGGTGGAATCTTAGCAGATGAGATGGGTCTCGGAAAGACAGTGGAAGTTCTGGCTCTGATTCTGACGCATACTCGACAAGACGTCAAACAAGATGGTCTCACTCTTCCTGAGGTACAAAGAAATACTGCAGTGCTTCAGAGAACGGGAACATGGGGTGTCAAGAGACCTTACAGTGAACATTGACCATTTACTTGGCCCTCAAGTCAACCCCTTCTGTGCATTATATGGCAATGGCTTGTGTTCATGTTTGATTACCTTCAAGTGACTACAGAGAATGGGACGTTGACTTCCTAGCAGGTTTTTCTTGAGTGATGTAGACCAATTAACAGAATATGTAGTAAGTTACCAGTCTCCCAACTAGTTAGCAAAGAACTGTTTTATAATACGTCCTACTGGTACTTCAGATATCTTGTCAACACTATAAGGTCCATATTGCCACTGAATATTTTAAGAACTGTCTATTTAATTACAAACCTCAGATTCTGATAAGTAGAAATTATTGGTTGACTGATAGCTTAATAGTAATAGATTGTTAGATAGATTTTATATAAATACATGAATTTTAGAGTTTACAAAAAATAACTTCCTATATCTCCCAGTAGTGAAACCTGAAGCCAGCACATTAAGCCCTGCTGACTTTAGCCCACTAATCAAAGGTAGAACCACTTAAGAACCTTCAGGAACCACAGGCCCACAATCTTAGTATGTATGTAATCTATTGGAAAGTCCACATATACAAAATAAACCTTAGAGATTTCAATAGTAAATATATTTTTATAAATTTAAATATATATATATTTACATATATATGATGGGGGCAGGTCTGGAGAGATGACTCAGCAGTTAGGAACTCTGAGCTCTGGCTGTTCTTCTAGAGGACCTAGGTTGGATTTCCAGCACCCACAACTGAGCAACTAAGCAACTGTCTCTAACTCTAGCTCCAGGTGATGCCCATCCCTCTTCTGGCCTTTGCAGATACTGCATGCATGTTGTGCACAGACATATATACAAGCAAAGTACCATTACACATAAAAACAAAAGCAAGTCTTTAAAAAAGACACTGAAGTATTAATAACTTCTTTCTGAGATGTTAAGCTCACTTGGTAGCCCAGGCTGGCCTCGAACTCAGAAAAAGGCGCCAAGCTACACAGAGAAACCCTGTCTCAAAAAAAAAAAAGAACACAGAGATGTTAAGCTCATTACCTATTTTATTTCCAAATTAATGTTTATTATTATAAATATGTCAATTCTATTTTAAAATGTGTCTTTAAGTTTCTTTCAGAAATTCCCTATGTTTAGTTAAATAGTATACACAAATTAAAAAAAGGCTAGTTGCAAGCTCCAAATTAAAAAAAAGTTTATATAATGAATGACATTTACTTATCTCCTTTTATAGTTGTATGTGACTATTTTCCATTTCTTTAATAGAAGGGTTAATTATAATACTCAAAATATTGAATACCAAATATTTCAACTACCAAATGTCATGTATTTCAGGGGAAAGTGGTGAATTATTTCATCCCATCTCACTGTCCCAAAGGAAAAGTAAAAAATAGAGATATCCAGGATACAGAATATGAACCAAAAGAAAAAGTGCACTGCCCCCGTAAGTGTGGTTTCTTCAAGTAGCGTCTTTCAAATGATTTTTACTGCACTCTGTACTGTCTCAGAAAGGTTTAATCATCATGACTGGTTTTTATTTAAATTGTTTGTAATTAACATAAGAGCATGGTTACAAGTTACATTAACAAAAATAGAGAGTTGCTCCCAGTACTACTAGTTCAGTCTGTTATACTTAAGTTTCTTCAATTTTGTTTATTTTCAGGTGTAGCTACTACGATTTCTATTAACAGATTAATTTTCCTTAGCAATGGTAGCATAGAATATACTAGGACATTCAGGAGATTTTGCTTTATAATTTGAATGGTTGTTGTTTTGTCAAACAAATTAGCCTGAATAATTATTTGCTAAATTATTTCTATTACAGTAATTTTTTTCTTAATTCAAGGTCAATTTTTATTACATATTGTTTGGAATGGTACTAGAGTGCGTTACATCTTTTATTTATTTTCTTTTTTTTTTTTTTTTTTTTTTTTTTTTGGTTTTTCGAGACAGGGTTTCTCTGTGTAGCTTTGCGCCTTTCCTGGAACTCACTTGGTAGCCCAGGCTGGCCTCGAACTCACAGAGATCCGACTGCCTCTGCCTCCCGAGTGCTGGGATTAAAGGCATGCGCCACCACCGCCCGGCTATTTATTTTCTTAACCTAGTCCCTAATGCAGATTGACATTTTATTTTAGTTATTTTGAGTAATTAGCATATCCTTTTGTTTATCCCCTTGTACATTTAGCTACACGTGTGATGATCCTAACAGCTGTGAAAGAAATGAATGGGAAAAAAGGAGTTTCTATTCTTTCTATCTATAAGTATGTCAGCTCCATATACAAATACGATGTTCAGCGGAACCGGAGTCTTTTGAAGCGGATGCTAAAATGTTTAATCTTTGAAGGTCTTGTGAAACAGATCAAAGGCCATGGTTTCTCTGGGACTTTTACACTGGGGAAGAATTACAAGGAAGAAGATATATGTGATAAAACAAAGAAGCAGGTAACAGCATTTATTAAGTAAATATACTTGTAAAAGGATTTTTCTTTGGGCCACCAGCTCACAAAAAAATGATATAGAGACTTATTATTAATTATGAAAGCTCAGCATATAGCTTAGGCTTTTCCCACTATCTCTTATAACTTAACCCATTTCTATTCATCTATTTGTTGCCACATGACTCGTGGCTTTTACCTCTCCTCCTGCATATCTGATCCATCTGCATCTGGCTGGTGACTCCTTTCTTCTTCCCAGAGCTCTCTCTGTCCAGAAGCCCTGCCTATACCTCCTGCCTAGCTGTTGGCTTTTAAGCTTTATTTTAAAACCAATCACAGTGACACATCTTTAACACAGTGTAAAGGAATATTCCACAACATTTCTCCCTTTTTGTCTAAATAAAAAAGAAAGATTTTAACTCTAACACACTAAAACTATATACATTAACAATTAGCAGGTAAGAATTACATTTACAATGTTCGATCTGTTTGTATTTGGCAAATTTAGAGAAAATATTTCATTATCTATCCTCTCTTGATGAGTCCAAAGTGTTATACCTAAACCATTTTCTATCATAACTTGTATTACAATCTTAAAACTATCTTTTTAGACCTCAAAACATTCTTTACATAAACAATTTAAGCTTTATGGGTCTCTCAAACTTAAAAACTTTACATCTTTTATGTAAGTTTCTTTTCTGAATTTGGTAACAAGGAAAACTGTAAAACTATAACAGTCTAGTCTTCAATCTCCATCAGAGACCCAAGAAGGATAAAATATTACCTGAGTAAACAGGAAGTGCAAAGTAAACAACTTCTAAAACTAAGAAATGATAGACATCAGGCTGTCTGGACAGTCACCTCAACGTTCCTCTGTAACATTGAAGCATCCATCTTCAGCCTGTGGGCCTAAAATATCTTGACATTTTCTGTGAAGCAGGATTTTTGAAGGACTGTCCTACCATGTCTTGGTAAACCTTGGCAATCACTTTCTTTTGTGTCCTGCTTGTCCAATTTGGCCAACATACTGTCAGCAGTCAAAGCAAGAGCAGTTTCTTGCCCAAATGGCTGGCTTTTGTCACAAAGAAAGCAAACTCCATATGGAGGTTCTTTGATGCCCATCATCTCTTTTTGAAGTAAATTGGTACTGCCAGCAGCAGACAGGTCTCACTGTCATGAAAAGCCTATGTTATTAAAACACTTTAAATAGCATATTCTTTAGATCTTTGAAGTGTTTGAAGATCACCTATCTATCTAAAATGTATCTCTATGTCTTGAAAACATACCTAACATGACTATAAGTTTGATAGTTTTAGATGACTAACCATTAACCTGTATTTCTTTATTATCCTAAATAGCTTTCATGGACTAAAACTTTATATTTTTAAATGAGCTGTGTAGGTATAATACTTTAAACAAAAATAGAAACATATATACAGTATAATAAAAATAGCTTTAAATTTGTATCAATATACTAAAATCCATACCAATACAAAATATTTGAGACTAGTGGTTGTTTAAACGACTCAACAGTCCATCCTTTTATACCATCATTTCTATACTATATCCCCCTTTTTCTCTTCAGAAAGAGATCCCTAAATCTAACTTCCTTTGTTTAGTTTTATTGTTTTGACAGTGACCAATAACAACTTGTAACCAACTCCCCTAAATGGAGTCAAACACCCATAACCCAAAACCACCCACCCCACCTTTTGCCATACAGAATAAATAGGTAGATCATACCTTGACACTAAAGCTTTCAAAGTTTGCAGACAAAAATCAAAAACAAGTAAGGAAAAATATTATCCCAGTGACTTATGTTTTCTACTTTCTGAATGTAAATGTCATAAAAGTAGTAACTGTTTTAGTTACATTTGAATCCAGAGAAATGTGGTTTACTCATTAAAAATACTCAATAGGATGAACTCTAAAATTAGTTGTTTTTATATGCCTTAGAGTTGAAGATAACTTGTCTATTGTTATGATACTGTCTGCAATTACAAACTTGGCTCCCAGCTTTAGCAATGTTAATGCCTCAAATTTATATATACCTATTTATATATATTTCAAGTCTCTTTATATAAAATTAGTGTTCCCAATGCCATCATCCTATAAAACTTTTTATATTTTGTTATAAAACTGTTTTCATTGGGCCAGTAATTTCAATTTGCTTTTAGAAATATAATCACAATACATGTAAACATTATCAAGGAACGACTACTGACAACAAATCAAATTATGAAAGCCTTTTTTTTGGAGACACACATACACACACACACACACACACACACACACACACACACACACACACACACACACACTCCCTCTTCATCTTTTGGAACAGGTAATGTTCACCTTGTGCCCAAGCAACATGAAAGACTGCAGCGAGCTGTGCTTTTGTAATCCCTCTGCCACACGGGGAAATCTCCAACCAGTGCCATTGTTTCTGTGGTAATAGCCTGGCTCTTCTATTTGCCCTTAGGTCTGACACCTCTTTCCCAGAGCTGTTCCTATCACCTACCTGTTTGTCACACCCCACTTGTGTTCCGTGCCCTTTGTAGGCATTTCTATAGCTCACTTTTGCTTTGACTATTCAGAGAGCTGTTGAGACAGATACCAAATGTACTTCTTTTTTATACCCTAGTATCTAAGACAATGCCTGACCCAGAACTGACATTCAAACCATGATGGCAGGAGGCACACATGGAAAGGGCAAAGATAGGAGTTTGTTTACTGATTGCAGTAAATAGTAGATTAACTTCCACGGTTTTTGTACTTGATGACTTGGTATTGTATGTACTCTAAATGTCTGTTATTTGATTGATTTAAGCAGACTTTAAATCATAAATCATTAAGAACAATGGGGTAATCTTCCTTTATCTTTCTGATCTGTATCTCAAAACAAAACTCTACAGGGATGAAGTAGAGCCTTTGCTTTTCTGAGGATTACGGAGAGAGGTCTTTCAGAGAGTAAATTAGAGAACATTTGTCAGGAACAATTCTCTTTGGGTAAAGACTGTTGAATTTGTAAATATATAAAGTTTAGAGTTTATTTTCCAAGTTACAACTTTTTTGACACATGTTAATTAAACAATTCTTTTTCATAGGTGGTGGGGAGTCCAAGGAAAATTCAGAAGGAGTTAAGGAAATCAGTGAACAAGGACACAGATTCTGAATACCTGCCATCAAATACTTCTGATGATGATGATGATCCTTATTATTATTACTATAAGGCCAGAAAAAGCCGTAGTAAATTGAAGAAAAAACCTGTGTTACTCACTAAGAAGGAAAAGAGACAACCTATCAGTCCAGATTCCCAGATTCACTCTCCAGCTGTTGGTGACGCTGCAAGTGCTGATGCTAATGTCTCAGAAAGTGCACCTGCCTCTGAGGACAAGAGAAACCAAGAAGCAGAAGACCTTGCTGGCTCTCCAAAGCCCGCTGATGAGGAATTGGCACATTCTAACACTGTGAGTCCCTGTGAGACCTCTGATTACCGCTTTGAGTGCATATGTGGTGAATTTGACCAGATTGGCCGAAAGCCGAGAGTTCAGTGTCTGAAGTGTCACCTGTGGCAACATGCGAAGTGTGTGAATTACGAGGAGAAGAATCTGAAGGTTAAGCCTTTTTACTGCCCCCACTGCCTGGTTGCAATGGAGCCAGTGTCAACAAGAGCAACGCTGATCATCTCTCCAAGTTCCATTTGCCATCAGTGGGTGGATGAAATCAACCGGCATGTGAGATCATCATCTCTTCGAGTTTTGGTAGGCACTGAACTAAAAGAGGGATAGAAACATGTAAATGTGTGCTTCTTCATGATAGTTTTCATTGTGCTTTTAATTTGTTTGCATTTATTTTTAATATTGTTTATTATTTTATTTATTTGGAGGGAGAGTTGGGGCAGGATTTCATATAGCCCAGGATAGCTTCAAGGATGACATTGAACTCTGATCCTCTACTTCTCAAGTGCTAGTATTACAGGCATGTGTACCTAGTTCTGATTATGTATTATTTGTCAAGGTTTTCTATAATAAATGTTGGTTCTGATTATTTCCCAGGTATATCAAGGAGTGAAGAAAGATGGCTTCTTACAGCCTCATTTTTTGGCAGAACAAGATATAGTTATCATTACCTATGATGTCCTTCGTTCAGAACTAAACTATGTTGATATCCCACATAGCAATAGTGAGGATGGGCGTCGCCTGAGGAACCAGAAGCGCTATATGGCTATTCCCAGCCCCCTGGTAGCGGTGGAGTGGTGGAGAATCTGTCTTGATGAAGCTCAGATGGTTGAATGTCCTACAGTAAAAGTAAGAATCTCCACAACATCCTTTGAGTGCTGATGAAGGAATAACATGAATAGTTCAGTAGTTGAAATTTAGTTAACCCACACTAGTGATATTGTTTGAACATTTTTTGCTAAACATTCTTATGTTAAGAACTACATAATCCTTTGAAATTAACTCTAATTCTTTGAATGATACTTCTGTATGGAATACTTGGAGACTTGGTTGTCAATGTGTGTATGACACAGTTCAAAGCAAACTATGTTTAGGAACTTCTAAATCATTTAAGCTAACCTGAAGGCTTATCGTATGTTCTTAGTAGCCTTAATCCAAGGTTGACTTTGGCAGATGGCTTCAGAAAATAAACTTTATGGTATAGAATTTTATTACATCTATCTCTGTGTGTATGTGTATCTTAGGTCTTCTTCTGTGACTCTCTACACTATTGTTTAAGATGGTCTCTCTAGACCTAGAACTTGCTGATTTAGCTAGACTGGCTGGCTGCCAGCCCCAGGGATCCTCCTACCCTTTTTCCCAGTGCTCGGATTCAACCGCTATGCACGTTGCTTCCTTCTTCAGTGCTGGGGATCCAACCTAAGGTCCCAGATTGTAGCAAGTACTTTACTGACTGAGCTATCTCCCCAGTGCCATATTATTTATCTTTATTCTGTCTCCAGTGACCTGTCTATAACCTGAACTGAATTGATGAATGATATTTCATCATACAGAAGCTTACCTCTATAGGAAGGAGTGATGAAGGGGGTGTTTTCATTCAGGATATCTTTTCCTTCTCTGCATTCTTGAACTATCCCTACATCTCGGCTCGCAGTGAGCTCCTACTAATGAGAACCACTGTGTTGGGTACTGGCTTATTAAGTATGACATTCAACAGTGAGTGTGATAACTATTAAATAAAAGCAGATGTACCTTAATGGAAATGCAGCTGTTAGTGGCTGTTTTCATGAGGAAATGTATGACTGATTTCTGTGTTTTATTTGATACTTTTCTTTCATTAGGCTGCAGAAATGGCCCAGCGTTTGAGTGGGATTAATCGGTGGTGCATCAGTGGCACTCCAGTGCAGAGAGGATTGGAGGGTAATACAGACTTTCCACAGTCACCAGACTTAAAGAGCTTACTTGTTTGGGGGCAAATACAGCAATGCTTAATTTTTGTCAAAATCTTTATTTATTTAAGTATATATGTACTTAAAGTTTGCTCCTAATAATTTAAAGCATTTGTCTTTGTAAATGGAATTTGGGTGATATCTTCAGATACATGAGGACAAATACATAGTGAGCATTCCCATTGCTTTACATTGGCCAAATATTGTACCCCTTCCACAGTATAGCTACAGGTCTCAAGTCAACCTGAATTCCAAAGAAGAAGATTTAGAACCTGAGAAGAAAGGAAAGCATGAAACAGAAAATCAAACTTCATAGGAAGGGATGCTGAGGAGAATGATGGCCAAGTTGAGATTTGCAGTGCTGTGAAGTGACTAGGAGAGGAAAGGAGTCTCTGTAATAGAGGAACCAGGCAGTTGAAGGTGATGTGGTGGCAGGAGCCCTCAAAAGAATGCCAGTATGACAGAAGTACAGAGAAACCATGTGCATGCCGGGACTGAATAGACAGGTATAGAAAAAGCCAAAAGGGACCTTTTAGACCACAGTACAGTATTTTTGTTATTCTCTTAGGAAAAATTGGGATCTCTCAGAAGAATTTAGACAAAATGATTTATGCTCATCTTGTAGATTAATTTATATTTCAAAAGATGACTCATTGTAACATGGGAAATGATTTAGCAGAGAACAGAGTACATACTAGGATATCAGCTGATTGGCTCCAAAGATTGATGGAGGCAAGCGATGTGAGCATTATGGATCTGGACTAGGGTTATCTTAGAAAAACAGAAAAGTGGATGAGGCAAGTTAACAAGATGTGTTGGGTTGATACGTTGCTAACTCATACATTTCTCTGTAAATAATACTAGAGGAAAAACATCTTTGGGTAAGAAGATTGTTAATTTGTCTTAGGCAGATATAAATTTTAGGTTTTTAAAACCTCAGTTAAGTAGAGCATAAATAGTTGGACTGATGTGATCTGAACTATAAATCGGTGATTCCTACAGATAAGCATATGTTACTAATGCCCATGTGCTATCAGAGTCACTTAATTCAGCTACATAGCAAGGCCCTGTCTAAAAAATAAGTAATTTCAACCTAAAATGTCAGTCATCTTCAAAGGATGTTCTAGATAGTTGTGGTTTTTACATTTTTATTAGTTCCTTTTAGTCTTATAACCATGTGTCTTGATCATATTCGAATACCTGCCTCCCCGAATTCTTCCCCAGTTCACTCACCAGACCAGTTTGTGCTGCCCAAATATTTTGGGATGTGTGGTCTTCCACTAGAGAGTGGCTGACTTACCAGTAGCTGTATTAAAGAAAACTCTCTCCCTTTCCCAGAACCTAACAGTTGCCAATATTAGGGTGGAACTTCCCTCTCCATGTTGGGAACTTCATCTGGCTTGGAATTATGGAATTTTAAAAATAATTCTTACTCCTTTTGAAGAGACCATACACTGTATTTTTTTCAACTAATGATACATAAAAGCATAAAGAAAATTATACTCAGAGCTGAAGAAATGGCTCAGTGGTTAAGAGTAGTGATTCACTAAATAAGTTTTGTGTTTAATTTCATTATTGTCTTAGGCTAGTTCCCTAGAAATTTAATTAGTAGATCATTAGGAATGTTAGGTCAGAGTATATTCTCTGCATCGCATGAGATTACATCATACTTTTTCTTCATATTTTTCTCAAAGTCTTACTTTGATATATGCATCTTAGCAAATCTACTAAAGAAGTTTTCACTGCCAGGCTTTTGGGTTAAGTGTAAGCTTTGTGTGGTAGTGTTACATTTTAAGTATCTCAGGAATTAGAGCAGAACCTGGAGCACAGTAAATTCTCAGAAGTGTAAATTGATCTGGAATTAAATGTTCAGATTCAAGAGGCTACAAGATGCATTCTACTTTCTGACAAGTTCTGTGTGTGCTTTGTGGGTCTGTGGGTGATCTTATGCAGAAGAGCAATAAAGAAATCCAGAAATAATTGTCCCTGGTGTCCTGTGGCTTTCCCTTTGCAGATCTTTTTGGGCTGGTGGTCTTTCTTGGGATTGAACCTTACTGTGTCAAACACTGGTGGATTCGACTTCTCTATCGCCCATACTGCAAGAAGAATCCTCAGCATCTCTACAGTTTTATTGCCAAGATACTGTGGAGGTCTGCAAAGAAAGATGTCATTGACCAAGTCAGTGTGCCAACCTTTTACTTACTAAGGATATTACAAGGAAACAAAGCTGGGGTGAAAAGTTAAAATTTCGGGTTAATTTGTTCTGTTTCCAACTTCCCATTACAGATCCAGATTCCACCTCAGACTGAGGAAATGCACTGGCTCCACTTTTCCCCTGTGGAGAGACATTTCTATCACCGCCAGCATGAGGTGTGCTGCCAGGATGCCGTGGTAAAGCTCAGGAAGATCTCCGACTGGGCCCTGAAACTGAGCAGCTTGGACAGAAGGACTGTCACCTCCATCCTGTATCCTCTGCTGCGGCTCAGACAGGCCTGCTGCCATCCACAGGCTGTTCGTGGGGAGTTCTTGCCACTCCAGAAGAGGTTTTACCCTCAGTTTCCTTCCCTATGGGGTTTATATTTCAGTAGTATTTAAGCACTTTTGACTCCCAGTTTTATTCAGGGACTTTGGCTAGGTATCAGGGAATTTTTTGTTTTGTTTTGTTTTTGGTTTCATGATTTTCTCTGTAGGGAGCCTCATTTGTGAGTCATAACAAAAGGTTTTTTCATGGTTTTGAACATTTCATTTAAAATTTGAATAGTTATAACAGTTTTTGTGGTTGCATTTTTGGTTTGGAGAGATTTTATTTGTCTGTACTTTTGTCTGTCCCACTACCCAACTCCCACCCCCAACCCTTTGTGTGTGCTTTTCAAGACAAGGTTTCTCTCTGCAGCCCTAGCTGGCCTAGAACTCGCTCTGTAGATCAGACTGGCCTGGAACTCAGGAATTTTCCCATCTCTGCCTCCTAAAAACTTAGATTAAAGGCATGCACCACCACACTTGGCTAAATTTTTTGTTCTTAATATACTTCTAGTTCCCCACATTAGAGAGCAGCTAGATTACCACAAAGTGTTTTCTTTGTAATTGTGCTAGTTATGTCCTTCGATATGTTTTGTTGTTCCAGAATTTCTTTTGCAGATTAGACTGCACCTCAAAAACTGCTCTGTTCTTAGTACCTGATATTATAATAAACCCAGCTGTCCAAGAGCAGCTATAAAGAGGATTATATTTGGGGTTTACCTTTGAGTGGATTATAGGCAGCTAGAAATAGCAAAGATGATAAATTCATACAATATAAGCTGAACTGATAAGTTTTAAGAATTACAGATTGCTATGGAAACAGTTTCTATTTAAATAGCAGTTTATGACATCCTTCTAATGGAAATGACATTTGACCATTGTAGCATCTCTTACTTTTTATTTTTTAAACTGAAAATTAAATTTACAGTAAAGCATAAGTTTAATTTGTAGTGATGGGATTGATTCAGACCCAGTCTTACATTGTGATCCCTGTACTATTTCAAATGGATTGTATTGTAGTTTGTACTTAGGAGAGATTTTTCTAGTTCCTTTGTCTTTTGAATGAAGTGTGAAAACTTAAAAGAAGGCAGACCAGGTACAATATTTGCTGGGTTAGTAACAAGTAAAAGCTGAAACTGTAAAACTGAAGGTGAAGGGACCGGAAATAGTTCAGCAGTTCAAAGTTCTTGCTACTCCTCCAAAGAACTGAGTGTGGTTCTCATTACCCATGTCAGGCGACTCGCAACAGCCTGGAACTCCAGGTTCAGGTGGCCCTCTTCTGGCCTCAGTCGGCATACACACATACACACACGTACTCAGAAGTCAAAAAAAATTGGTGAAAACTGCTGAAGATTTGTGCAGTTTTCTGTAAAACACTGTAAGAGTCTTGTACCCTTCACCGAGCACAGTGTGACTTTCCTGCTGTGATAGTACTTGGAGGTTGCATTTGGTTTTGAAAGATGTCTCTTCTTTTAGCACCATGACAATGGAAGAGCTGCTCACGTCTTTGCAGAAGAAATGTGGAACTGAATGTGAAGAGGCCCATCGGCAACTAGTTTGTGCCCTCAACGGCTTAGCAGGCATCCATATCATTAAAGGTAGAAGGTGATTACTTTGTTATATCTGATTCTTACAGTTCTTTTTAAGGAAGGTTAATTACAGAGTGATGTTCTCGCATACTATTGATATGAGTTAAATAGGTTGGATTACACAGAGAACTCTTACACAGAACATGTCAAGAACAGTCAGTGTACATGGACCTTAAGCAAACACTTCAGGAAGCTTTAGAGATTAGAAAATTTTAGGAAATTATAATATGAAAAAAGATTTTATCATAAGATATTTATTTTTGTCTTTTATAGTGAAAAATCAGAACATTTACAAATAGAAAAATGATTAAATTTTAACACATTCCTGGAAATATTGTTCAATGATTTTTTTTTAAATAATGGTATTATAAGTTCATTTTTTTTCATATCATGGTATATGCCAGGATGATGTAGAAAGGAAGATGCAAAATAAAATCTCAGATCTTGCATATACAACTAAAACCACTGTTTCCAAATAAATACAACAAAAATTGATAGACCTGTTATGAGAGTAGACAGATCTGTAATTGTAGTAGGAAATGTCAGTACCCTCTCAGTTATAGAACAAGCAGATAACACTGTGTCAACACTTAGCCACTAGAAAAGCCACTAGACTTGACCGAAGTGACCTGGTAGGCACTTACTGAACACTGTAGCCAGTCACAGAGGAATATATACTCTGTTCAAGTACACATCTAGGGTATAAAGCAAGTCAATAAACATAAAAATTCAAGTCTTCCACAGTGGAATTGAATTTGCTGTCAAGGACTGGTGAGGGGCCTCAGTGGGTAAAGGTACCTACTGCCAAGTTTGATGACCTGAGTTCAATTCCTGGGACCGACATTTTGAAAGAAAAGAACCCATAAATTGTTCTCTACCTCCAAGTGTGCACTGTGGCGTGCATCCCCTCCTGACTCATAAATACATAATTAAAAAATAGATATCAATAAAAAATAACTAGAAATAATTAAGATATTTTAGGGGGGAAGTAACACTAAGTATAAAGGGGATTCAAAAAAGAAGCTGGGAAGTGTTTATGAGAACAAAGTACCAAGATGTGTGAGGTGCAGCACATCAATAATTACAGGGAAATTTGAGGCACAAAATACTCAAAAATGTATTTATAGTTCTATTACATTAATATCTTTTATACATTAAACTTTACCATAGGAATATGTGACTAAGAAAAAACTGTATACACAGGGCTCTGTACTGTACGCTATCAAACATTCACTGGGGGTGTCTTGGTATATAGCCCCTGCTGATAAGGGGAGATCTGCTTCATAGTGTTAGAGGTAGGTAGGGAACCATCTCCTGATAAATAGCATTTCCTTCAGTCCTCCACGGTAACCCTCTTCTGCACCATCAAGTACCATGTTGGTTACTAGTATACTAATGTTCTACATTGGTGTACGGTCATGAGGAGATTTTACAGCTGTTTTCATTTACTGGTAACAATTTAAAACACTTAAAAGGGGGCTTGAGTGGTAGCTAGGTGAAGCTCCTTGCCTTGCAAGCATGAAGATCTGAGTTTGATTCTCTAGAACATGTGTTTAAAAGAACCGGTCTGGCGCACTCTTGTAATCCAGCACTGGAGAGACAGACAGGCCATCCAGCCTAGCCATGAAGAGACCTTGTCTCCAAAAGCAAAGTAGACAGTACCTGAGCAGGAGCAGCCACTCCATATTGTCTTTGGCCTCCACACACATTTGCACACACATGCATGTGCATCCCACACGCACATTTACCTGTACACATACATACACCAAAAGAAAATTATTTATTTAGAGAAATAAGTACTTTCTGGAGAGTACAAAATAAGTGTTCTGAGCCTTGAATTAGGTTGCTTTATCTGTTCTTTGGCATTGCAGAGTCACACTAGGAAGTGTTTCTTCCTTTCCCATATAAGCTGGGTAGAAGTAGTTCACTCAGAACATCCGTGTCACAGTCCGTTAGATCACAGTACAGAGTAACCCTTGCTTGCCTCCCCAAGAAAGTGTCGTTCTTGTATGAGGCAGAGAAACACTGAAAACTTGGGAACCAGATCTTCCTTATGTTACAGGTTATAGTATGAAATTAAACCAGATTCTTAGTAATTTCACCTTGTTTACAATGTAAATTTTATTGGCAATAATTAATAATAGGGCAAAAATTTTAGGTTATGTCTGATAAATTTTCCAAATATGGCACCTACAGCTTTGAGGAAAATCCTTACTTTGGAACATTGCTAGGCTTTTTTAGCTATTAGTATTTATGAATTTATATTTCATCTATTTTTAAGCATCATAGCATCATTTTGCTAAGCATGTCCTGACTGTAGTAGTCCAGGAATCAGTCTAAACTCTAAAATACCTGGGCCTTACAGTCCATAAAGATAATATTAAATAGATGAACACTATATTGAACTTTGTTTTATACCAGCTTGGACAGAAAAGGAATTGGGAAAATATATATCATCTAATAGCAGCTTTTTACAGTGCCAACTTAATTGAATAGAGTAATTGTGATTAGAGTTTGTAGATTATTTGACTGTTATAAGTGAAAAATATTAATGATTGACCTTGAAAATGTATGAATAATGAATGTAATATTTAAAATACTTTGGAGTCATTGAAATATAGCATCCTATCTGAGAAATGGTCATCCTCCAACCTGTAAAATAGGTTGCTGTATAATTAATTCAAGCAGGTGGCTGTGTGGCCTTGGCTTAGCTCAAACATTGTATTCCTCTTTCCTCAGTCTCCTGAAGCAAGTTGGGGTTGCAGCTAGAAATGATCTTTTTTTTCTTCTTCTTTTTTTCCTTTTTTTGAGACAGGGTTTTTCTGTGTAGCAGCCCTGGCTACTTTGTATCAGCCCTAGAACTCACTTTGTAGACCAGGCTGGCCTGGAACTCACAGAGATCCACCTGCCTCTGCCTCCCGAGTGCTGGGATTAAAGGCATTCAGCATCACACCTGGTTTGAAATGATCTTTTTCTAAATACATTTTATATTATACATAGTAGTTTCTTTTCTATATACTATTTTATTCACATAATTGCTTGGTGGTTAGGGTATTACCCATTTTGCTTAAGGAAACACATTCATATGGGTTTAATTGCTTTCTCAAGATCATGCTAATGCCTGACATGGTGCACATGCCTGTTATCCTACCTAGCACTTGGGAGTCAAAAGCAAGATATCTGCCACAAATTTGAGACTGGCCTAGTTTACATGGTGTTTTCTAGTTCTGGGTTTCAGACATGTACCATCCCACCTGGCTCTCTTCATTTTATGTTGTTATAACAAGTGTAGATGATGAGTCGATTTCCCTCTTTTAACTTTTATCCTGTGTCCCTCTCTGATTGTGTCCTTTCCTGATGTTAGGATTGGGGTAAAACATCTCATCCGCTCGTTCTCAAGCAGCCTTGCTTTGGCAGAGTGGATGTGTATAGGCTCCTATATGAGTCCAGTGCTGCTACCAGACAAGCTGCACACCTACTCTTTGCAGGTGGTTTTCACTGCATCCCTACTGTAGTTTCTTGTCTGTAGGCAGAATTATGGTAGCTAATGCTGTTTAGACTCTGATTATATAGAGATCAGTCAGTAAAGATTGAACTTTTAAAAGAAATCTACACTTTCAAATTCTAGAAATACTTGTTGATATTATGGAAATGTGTGATATGTAATGAATACTTTCAGATCCTCGGTGACTATGGTATTAAACACGTAGTATTACGAATTTAAACAACATGCTTCCTACACATAGATACTCTTTGGAAAAAAATGAGCTTGGAATCATTCAGTCCAGTACAGTAACTTAGAAATATTTTTGCCATCAAGTGGCTGAGAATGTGTATTTCCAAGTTTGGCTTTGTCTTAAATTTGTAAAACTTGTTGAATATACATATTTTGTGTTTTCCTCAGATACGTATTTCTAATAAACATGAACCAGGTACTATAATGAATCATTTTTAATCAGCTGCTTAGATTATGTTCTAAGTCAGCTTAGATTATGTTCTAAGTCACGATACTTCCATAAATGGGAACTTATTAGATGATTGGCCCTTATAAATGGTAGTATAGATACTAATTGTGTCCATATACCAATTGAGTGGCATTTCAATCTCAGCACTAGGAAGGCTGAAGCAGGAAAATTGGGAGTTCAAAGTCAATTGAGGCTATATAGGGAGATCCTACTTCAAAAAGAAAAAAACTTAAAGAATTCACTGCATGAAGAAAATTGAATATTACTCCTCATTATATCAGGTGATCTTGTTTTTATGAAAATAATCTCCCTTATACTGAATAGAAATTAGCTGAGTCCTCAGTATTATGAAAGTGTGTGTTTTAGAATGCTTTATATTTTGTGTATGTGTATGTATATGGGCATGTGTGTATATGCATGCATACATATACATGGACATATATATGAGTTTAAAAAGGGGGAAAGGAGGGAGAACAAAATCAAATTTACAGAAGTGTGCATATCTATATAGAAAATTTATTGTGGTTACAAATATAGCCCTAAATATTAATAAAACTACTTTAAAGTTTTTATTTTTGGGAAAGAGTAACATGCTTTCTTGGCAAAGAAACAGCAGCATCTTTACACTGCTTTTGTGTACTTTTCTGGCATTCAATTAAATTTAATTTGTAATTTACTAGTTTTGAGATTTTCCTCAGGCAACAAATAAAAGTAGATGCTATTATTTAAGCCACTAAACTTGACTCTTCTCGCCTTTGCTTCAGCGTCTTCACCCTGCTGTAATAAGCCAGAGAGGACCATGTAGGCTGTGTGAGACACCCACTCAGCCCTGCTTCTGTAGCACACAGGCAGCTATGGACAGCGCAGGAGTGAGCAGAGCTGGGCTCCAATGAGACTGTGGCCATTGTAGCTTTCATGTCATGAAGCACTGTCTTGAAGGTCTTTCACTGTTGCAATGTAGAATTGGGCTCGGCATGGAGCTCAGTGGCACTTTGTTCACTTGCTTGACATACACAGAGCCTGACTTTGATCCCAGCACCACAGAAAATAAAAATATAAAGCCATTCTTCACTGAGAAATTATAGAAAAATGCAGGTCAGACTTAACCCAGTCCATTGTTGGTCAGGCTGTGCTTCAGTAGATGCTTTCTGAAGTGCTTCCTGTGAAGAAGCTGCTAATTATAAACAGAAAACAGCATAAGCACAAACTGGTGGTGATGTGTGTGACCAGAAGTGGAAGGATTGCTGAGACTCTCTTTGGCTTCTGCACATTTTCTCTTGTTTTGTCCTTGAGACAGGTTTTATTCTAGTCCAGGTGGCCTTGAGCTTGCTGTGAGGTATAGTAGAACTTGCTGTGAGGTGTAGTAGAGTTTGCTGTGTGGTGTAGTACAGCTTGCTGTGAGGTGTAGTACAGCTTGCTGTGAGGTGTAATAGAACTTGCTGTGAGGTGTAGTACAACTTGCTGTGAGGTGTAGTACAACTTGCTGTGAGGTGTAGTACAACTTGCTGTGAGATGTAGTAAAACTTGCTGTGTGGTGTAGTACAGCTTGCTGTGAGCTGTAGTACAGTTTGCTGTGAGGTGTAGTAGAACTTGCTGTGTGGTGTACAGCTTGCTGTGAGGTGTAGTAGAACTTTCTGTGAGGTGTGGTACAGCTTGCTGTGAAGTGTAGTACAGCTTGCTGTGAGGTATAGTAGAACTTGCTGTGAGGTGTAGTACTTGCTGTGAGGTATAGTACGGCTTGCTCTGTGGTGTAGTAGAGTTTGCTGTGTGGTGCAGACTGGCCTCAAAGGCCCCATCCTCTTCCCTCATAGTGCTAACATTACAGACAGCTCTTGGTTTTTGAAGTGTTGTTTTAATTATTTTTCCCATTTTTGAGATTATTACATAATTACACCATTTCCCCCTCCCTTTAAGTCCACCCATGTATATTCCTTCTAGCTTACTTTCAAAGTCATGGTCTCATTGTTGTTACATGCATATGTATGTTTATATACAAATATATTCTTAAATATAACATAGTCTGTGTATAATGTCACTTGTATGTAATACATGTTTTCAGGGCTGACAATCTGGTACTGGGTAACCAATTGGTGTGTTCCTCCCTGGGGAGGACTTTCTCCCACTCTCAACATTATACTTAGTTGCCTGTAGTTCTTTGTGTAGGGATGAAGCCTCCTAGTCTTTCCTCCCCCAGTCTAATTTGGTTTGTCTGTTGTTATTGTTCCTGTTCAGCTCATGTTTTTAATTGAAAATTATGTATGCTTTATACTAGGAATGAGTAATATATATCAAGAAAAGTTTGCTTTTTTCTGAGAATTAGGTAGATTGGTCAGAATGTTATAAATACTTGTTTATCACTACTGATGTCCCAAGTTTGTCTTTAATTTTAAACTATAATGACCACTAATTGGCAACCTTTACCCCTAATAAGAGGAATTATTTTTTTTTTACTTAATCATTTTGCAGTATAATTTTAAGGCATTATAAATATATTTTATTTTAAATATATCTCAATACAATTTGAAACAATAAAATACCCTGTGGAGTAAAGGAATGATAATCACCTTAAAAAAAAAGCTGGAATAATCCTAATTCAAGGTCAGATTCTTTAACCTACAAAAAGATGAGTTACAGGCTTGGGATGCTAGCTTGGTAGTAGGACAGTTGTCCAGCATGTATAAAACCCCAAGTTCATCCACAACACTGGAAAATCAATAATAATAGCCATAATAAGAGTTAGAATTGTTCTTTTTCTGGTACAGCTTTTTAGATTAAAGATAACTGGATAACACTGAGAGTGATGTGACTTGTGTCCTTTCAATGCATTTTAATTTCTCAGGTGAGTATGCCTTGGCAGCAGAGCTATACAGAGAAGTACTACGCTCCTCTGAGGAGCACAAAGGAAAACTCAAAACGGATTCACTTCAAGTAAGTGCAGTCTGAAAAGTGTCAAGTATGCATTCAAATTATTTCAAATAATGACTTTTTAAAATGTTAAAATAAAGGGTATCAGTAAACTAAGTCATAATAATTAGAGATAAAATCTGGGATTCCTTCTTTTTAATATACCCCTGGAATGATTTGTGTATATGATAAAAGTTTGAGAATCACCATTGTTCTCTATGCAAGCCTACACTTGTAGGTAGAGTTTTCCTGCCTGGCCCACAGTCAGGGCAAATCTCTCTCACCTGCCAGTCCCACAGCCGTCAGACCCGACCAAGTAAACACAGAGACTTGTATTGGTTTCAAACTGTATGGCCATGGCAGGCTTCTTGCTAACTGTTCTTTCAGCTTAAATTAATCCATTTTTATAAATCTATACCTTGCCACATGGCTCGTGGCTTACCGGCATCTTCACATGCTGTTTCTCATCGTGGCGGCTGGCAGTGTCTCTCTGACTCAGCCTTCCACTTCCCAGCTTTATTCTCCTCCTTGCCCCGCCTACACTTCCTGCCTAGCCAATGGCCAATCAGTGTTTTAATTATTGACTAATCAGCAACACATTTGACATACAGAACATCCCACAGCATACACTGAAAGATAGTTTTAATTATTTATAATTCAGAGAGTAGGCTAATTTTATAATTTTCCCCTTGCACATCAACATGTTTATTCAAATCGTTTTCATCAAAAAGAAAATGAGCCAAACTAAGAGAGTGAAGCTGAGTAAAATAAACGTGACCCGTGTCTTATACCTTCGACTTTTAGAGATCTTTTAGGAGGATTTGCATATTTGAATTATAACACTAACTGCTCTTTCCCAGCAAATCATAGATAAGATTCTAGCTAAGTGAGAAGTAAAGACGCATTTATTAATCTTAGCAAGCTTGGGTTTGATACCTAGGTAAGTTGACTTTGTCATTCACAATAAAGACTTTAGAACTTATGTATTCATGTGATACAGTGGACATTTGGAAAAGTGTATAAGAGGGGGCAGGGATGAGGCAAAGGTCAACCAAAGATGTACTTATATTCTACAAAGAATAACAAGCAGGACATGGACCTTAAACACATGTGTACCTCATGGGGAAAGATGTCTTTTTCTTCGAGAAAGGAAATAAAAATAGAAGAGGTGCAAGAAGACAGTTTGAGTTCCAAATTTCTGAATTCAAAATTAAAAGATAAGTGATCAGCTTGGTTCTTGTTTTTCCTTAGTTTATGTCTGCTGATGGGCAGTGTTGCTCCATGAATCCTTATTCTGTCCAGTCAGGGCACCAATGCTGTTGTGCTTGGACAAATGCTACACCTGTCTTCCCTTCTAACTCTTGCACAAAAACTAATAGGTCATTTTCCACAGCACACACAGAGAAGATAAAACACGTATCTCTAGTTCATTTGCACCTGTTTGCTATTAAGTCTGCTAGTACTACTCACTGTGTGGCTTAAGAAGCCATTTTGAAAAGACCTAAGTTATTTGAGGTAACGTAGACTCCACAGAGACTTATGCTATAGCTGGTAACCTATGCCCAGATAAAGTGAGACCTGAAAGTCTCATTTCACTGGCACTAAATCGTATTACCAGAACTCTATCCTAATCATCTTTTAGCCTAGCATCTTCCCAAGTAAAGTGGTAATTTAGCAGTTAACCACTGTGGTCTCACTTTAGTTCTGCTCATTGCCTCTAACCTCTAGCCAGTTGCTGACTCGGTATCAAGGTGGGAAGTAAATTATACATAATACCGAAATCCTTCCTCTAATTTCTTCAACCCCAATTTTTTCCCCTTTTCATTCTTTACGCTCGGTGTGTTCAGATACCAACTGTTTTCATTATCTTTGTTTTTGTCATAATACTGTTTGACTCATTCAGACTCATTTTCTAGAAAAATAATCAATACAGTCAACCTTTTTGCATTACTGTGTGGCTTTGAATTTCCTTCAATTCCCTGAGTATACTATTGCATGTACAATAGAAATAGTATGGCCGGGCAGCGGTGGCTCACATCTTTGATCCCAGCACTTGGGAGGCAGAGCCAGACGGATCTCTGTGAGTTCGAGGCCAGCCTGGTCTACAGAGCAAGATCCATGACAGGCACCAAAACTACATAGAGAAACTCTGTCTCAAAAAAACAAAAACAAAAAGAAATAGTATACCTATGTACTCTGTACTCTGCTGAGTACATAGCCATACTGCAGGAATGTATGTTATTAATTGAAGATTCAGATCTTTATGATTTAAGACCTTTGCCATTCACTTTCCTCTGGGGGACAAAAAAAGTTACTTAAACATTTTCAGAGGAAAAGTATTCAGCAATAGAAACTCGGAATTCATGGTCCACGTGCCACACAGTAGATGATGTGGTGTCCACTGCATTGCATCATCGCTTCACCTTTTATGTGTTTTTAGAGACTTCATGCCACACATAACTTAATGGAGCTGTTGGCAGCCAAACACCCAGGGATCCCTCCCACCTTAAGAGATGGCAGACTTGAAGAAGAGGTAATTGTTATTCTTTTCATTCTATTTATAAAAGTTTACTTTTTCAAACTTTATACTTCATTTAATTGTTACTTCTGGTGTATAACATTTAAGTAAATGTAACCAGTCATGTTTTCCTGTTATTTTGATGTTCTAAACTTTGCACGGGTGACTTGGAGTGGCAGAGTATATTTGGACTCCATATTATTTTGACTGTCTGGTGATCTATTTACCAATATGTTACAAGGCTTGTATATACTGTGTTAATGATTAACCAATGAAAAGATTCTGATTTCATGATAGGACTATAAAGAGTGTAGTTCAGTAAACAGAAAAGTTACAGACATTCTCTTTCTATATTTTAAGAGAGCACATGAACTCAAAATTTCATCAGCGTTTCTCTCTAGAGCAGTGGTTCTCAAGTTTCCCAGTGCTGTGACCCTTTAATACAGTTCTTCATGTTGTGACTCCCACCATAAAATTATTTTCATTGATACCTCATAACTAAATTTGCAACTGTTATGAATTATAATGTAAATATTTGTTTTCTGATGGACTTAGGCAACTCCTATGAAAGTGTCCTTTGGCTCCCCTCCATGGGTCATGACCTACAGGTTGAGAACCACAGCTCTAAAAGGTTCCTTTTATTGAAAGGAATGATACTGTAAGTTATTTTACTAGAAATTCCGAATAATTTGCAATACTAATTCTCCCAAGGACTTTTGCCTTTTTTAAGATCAAAGAGGAAGAACATGACTAAAATCAAAAGAGTAGAGATAGTTGAAATATATTGAACTTCAAAGTAGAGTTTTTATAGGTATCAGCAAGATAGAAAATTGGAATTTTATAAGTACATTTATCCCTTTTATATTTGTTAAAAATGAGTATTTTTATTGACAAAATTGCATAGATTTATAGTATACAAAATGGTGCCTTGATATATGCAGATATTGTGGATGTCTCATTCAACATAAATAATCTATCACCATTACTTCATATACTTAACTTTTATAGTGAAAATATTTAAAATCTACTCTCAATAGTATAGTGTGGCTATAGTCACTGCTGTATAGTCCTTTGACGAGTATTCCCTTCAGTCTTCAGCCCCTAGCAACCACCATTCTCTCCATTTGTGAGAGTTTTACTTTTTAAATCCCACATCAAAGTGAAGTCATGCAGCATTTATCTTTCAATGCATTGATTGTTTTATTTAGTGTAATGTCTTTCTTTTTGAAGGCTAAAGAATATAGCATTGTGTGTGTGTATGTGTTTATCACTTTTCTTTTCATCTATATATGTATGTGGTGTGCATGTATGTATGCATGCTCTCATTTGTGGGTACATGTGTTGCATGAAGACCTAAGATTGAAGTCAGGAGTCATTCTTGACTGCTCTTCTGTCTGGTTCTTTGAGGCAGAGTCAGTCAAACACAGAGATCACTAGTAGAACTAGTAGTGCCAGCCATCTTGCCCAGGAGATCCCTCCTGTCCCCCTTCCAAGGCTGGAAATAAAAGCAAGCTGCCATGCCCACCTGGCATGTGTGTGGGTTCTGGGGATCTGAACTCTGGTCTTCTTGCTTGTGAGGCATGCACTGTAACCACTGAGCCATCTCTCTGGCTTCATATATCATATTTGTTTATGAATTCTTTGATCACTATTCTTTAAAAAGGTGGGAGAGTAGTAACAATAATTTTATTCCTGGTAGTATTAGTCCACTAGGACTTTCATAACAGAAAGTTATGAAACATGCTGGAGGCTTAAAGAGTAAATATTTCTTACAGTTCTAGAGTTTGAAGTCCAGAATCAAGGTGTATGTCCTCAAAGCTATGGGTTTAATTTCTCCTTCAGCTCCTCTCTTTGATTTAGATACTGCTGTCTTTTTAGGTGGCCTTCATTTCATGCTTGTACATCCCTGGTGTTTCTGTTCTCATAAGGACTCTACTAAGGCATTACCCATATGGCCTTTAACCTTAGTTACCTTCTTACAGGCCCCATCTCCAAGTGCGGTCACACTAAGGGTCAGGACTTCTACATACAGATTTTACAGGAACAGGTTCAGTTTCTAACACCTTTGTTACTGTGTATCTCAAGAGTTATTTTTAAACTACAGCAGTTCCTAAAGGCATTGCAACAACTAAATCAGAGAAGTAATTCTATTAGGTATCTCTTGCCTCACTTGTGAAATATTAATGTCTTTTTCTATCCTATAAGGGACAAATCTTGAGGGTTTTAAAATTTTTGTGGCTTGGACATATCAATTTTGTTCTTTTCATTGTGTATCTTAGAAATTTCTAGAATGACTATATATTTTACACTATGGAATTTTATGTTTAAGTCAAGGAACTTTATATGTATGTAGTGACCACGTTGGTACTAAAACATACTAAATTATGTTCAAACCCTCAAGTAAAAGTTTATATTGACTTTCTGTTTCAACACAGGCCAAGCAGCTTCGAGAGCACTATATGAGCAAGTGTAACACAGAAGTGGCTGAAGCCCAGCAAGCCTTGCAGCCTGTGCAGCAGTCCATACGTGAGCTCCAGAGGAAGGTACCTGATGTGTGGGCTTTCTTGTGCTTGTCCCCAGGTAACAGTTGGGATCGATTTTGCTTGGGGGAAATCTTGAACTTTTTTTTCCCTTTTGAATTCTTTTTTTTTTTTTTTTTTGGTTTTTCGAGACAGGGTTTCTCTGTGTAGCTTTGCGCCTTTCCTGGAACTCACTTGGTAGCCCAGGCTGGCCTCTAACTCACAGTGATCCGCCTGACTCTGCCTCCCGAGTGCTGGGATTAAAGGCGTGCGCCACCACCGCCCGGCCCCTTTTGAATTCTTAGCACCTGTTGAGTGCCTATATCATAACACAGATGTCTTCGTTACTTTTCTACAGTTTCTCAAAACACCATGACCAAGGCAACTTATGGGAAAAAAACTGTTTAATTGGGCTTATGGTTTCAGAGGTTAAGCAGTCCGTGATGGCAAAACAAAGGCCAAAACAGCTGAGAGCTCATGTCTTGATCCACAAGCCTAAGGGAGAGAGAGTATACTGGAAATGGAGCAAGTCCTTTGAAACTCAGAGTCTCCCCCTTGTGACGTACCTCCTCCAACAAAGCCACACCTCCTAGTCCTTAACAAACACTTCTACCAACTGGGAACAAGAATATAAACATAATAGCCTGTGGGGGCATTCTCATTAAAACCACTACAATAAGTTTATTTACAATTAGTAGTGTCTGTTCTAGAGTGGACAGGTAGGTAGTTGAGTCAACTATGTTGAGGTTCAGTTTTATTTCTTTTAAACTGTAGTAGATTCCTTTTGATGTTGGGTAAATAATAGTTTGTCCTTTGGAGAAAGTATAAAGACTTCTATAATCCCCTTTTGATATTCGCTATGTCTCTTCCCACATTTAGAAGCACAGGTTTTATCCTTACAGACTAGATGCCATTTGTCCTTTCTAAGTTTCTTTTTTATGACACCAGAGCAAAATCTAAGACGAGGCAACACAAATACATTGTCTTTTACTTAGAATTTTTATTAGTTCCATGTGTTACACTTCCTAATTCATTAATTGTTTAGTATCTAGTCATAATTTTGTTTTTATTCAGTGGAATCCAGTTCGATATTCATTGATTAGATCTACTTTCTTGAGTGTTGCCCTTTACACTTAGACAGAACTGAGTTTTCTTTTTGCTAAAATACATTTTAATGCAGCTTTCATACACAAGTTTTATATAAAGTCTCATTCATCCAGAGTATTCCAAAGAGCAACTCTCCTGTTGTGAATACAAAAGAGATATTTGCCCAATATATACAGAGGTTGTGTGTCTTTCTGTGTGATGTAGATAATGTAAATACAGTATACACACATTTATATGTTATTATCCTTTGAGAACAGAACTTATCAATATTTTTCAATTTTTCACATCACCTTCTCAGTGAGTGCTAAATATATTTACTAATTGATTAATTTTGGCCTTTTTCCCAGATTCATTCTAATTCTCCTTGGTGGCTGAATGTCATCCACAGAGCAATGGAGTTTTCTGTTGATGAGGAACTTGTTCAGCGGGTGCGAAATGAAATAAGCAGTAACTACAAGCAGCAAACTGACAAGCTTTCTATGTCAGAGAAGTAAGAAAATAGCACAACACAGAATCACTGTGTAATTACCAATGTCTAGATCATTTGGTATCAGGAGGTGCAGATCAGTGTCCCAACATATACTTAGGAATGTGTAGGTTTTCAAATTTTGTTGAGTATTTCTTTTTGGTTTTTCGAGACAGGGTTTCTCTGTGTAGCTTTGCGCCTTTCCTGTAACTCACTCTGTAGACCAGGCTGGCCTCGAACTCACAGAGATCCTCCTGGCTCTGCCTCCTGAGTGCTGGGATTAAAGGCGTGCGCCACCACCGCCCAGCTTTGTTGAGTATTTCAAACAAAAATATTAGATATTAAATCTAAAACAGAGACCTTTTTTTCCTTAGAGTAACCATTTGAAGCATTCTTCTGTTAGAGCCTTTAGGTCTGTTCTTGGTTGCTGTTGTTGTTTCATACTTAATTCTTTTTGATGGTTTGAGACAGAGCCTCTCTAAGTAGCCCTGCCCCGAACTCATTATATTATTCTCTCCAACTCGAAGATCCACCTGCCTCTGCTTACCTGTGCTGGGATTAAAAGCTTGTACCACTACACCTGGCTTAATTACATTTTTATAAATATGCATCCATTTTTCTTCTCAATTTTGTTTTCTTCTCAGGTTTTTTTTGTTGTTGTTGTTTTTGTTTGTTTGTTTTTTTGTTTTTCAAGACAGGGTTTCTCTGTGTAGCTTTGCGCCTTTCCTGGAACTCACTTTGTAGACCACGCTGGCCTCGAACTCACAGAGATCCGCCTGGCTCTGCCTCCCGAGTGCTGGGATTAAAGGCGTGCGCCACCACCGCCCGGCTCAGTTTTGTTTTAATCAGTAGTCTACATTCTCCTAATAGGAAAAGACTGTCAGAAGATAAAGTCTATAGTGATTCAGCCTTTAAAAGTTAGAATGCATTAGTCCTGATCCTTGAAAGATACTGTATGCTCTTTTTCAGTTCCCAAGAATAGAATTGTTAAACTCTTTGGCATCTTTTTGTAATAGGCAATGCATTGTATTAAACCTTGAGTACTGGTAGGTACCATTGGGTACTCTGAAAGGAAGTCTCAGTGAGTATATTAATTTGACAGTTTAACAATATGATTGACAAACATTTTCTTGTTACTTTCTTTGTCTGGTGTGCTGTGCTGGTGATGGGAATAAGGTTCCGTGACTGCAGAGGTCTTCAGTTCTTACTTACAACACAAATGGAAGAGCTCACTAAGGTCCAGAAGTTAGTGAGAGAGGCTGTGAAGAAGCTGGAGAGACCTCCATCCCGTGATGTGATTGAGTCTGCAACAGTCTGCCACCTGCGACCAGCTAGACTCCCTCTGAACTGGTGGGTGGCAGGGAAGTCGTGCAGGGTACAGTGTTTTCCAGGAAGACACATTTGATCTGATCTGAGGCAAGAAATAGTTGTTCATAAGTTGAATCATTTTCTCTTAATTCAGACAGATGTGAAATGTATTTTTAAAATAAAGCAAATCAAGGATTATATGCTTGACAACCATGTTATTTTTATTTTTTTCTTAAGTTCTCATTTGTTAGAAAAATGAAAGACAATATGCTAAGCTTTTTTTTTTTAGAAATTATCTTATTGCTTCTTATTGCTGTTAATTTGTGAATATTTCTCTTTCAGCTGCGTCTTTTGTAAAGCTGATGAATTGTTCACAGAGTATGAATCAAAGCTATTTTCCAACACGTAAGTTCACTGATTATTACCCATGAGAAAAAAAAAAACATTTCAAAGGATTGAATGATTATGTGACTCTGTTTTCTGTTATGACCTTTGTTATATTTTTTCCTGTATTAAATCAATTTAATGACTGTTTGGCGTCTAACGTGCCCCATTTTTTCATTAGAAGTTACCCCTAAATGTTCATGAGGGACAGTCTGTAATTATGGTAATGAAGAGCAGTTGAGAGTAGTTGTAAGATCCCAGGCTCAATAGTCTGATGGATTTGAACTCAAATCCCTGTCCACTGACAAGGGTAAATCACCTCTCTGACCCCATGAAGTGAAGGTGACAAGTTACCCTACATTTTCTTAAGTACTAAATAAGAAAATACATATAAACTATTTAGCAAAGTGCTTAGTGCATAGTAAGTACCCAGTAAGAAAACAGCAGCGCTTGTTATTGTCTTCATCAGAGACCTTATCTGTGTGTTGAGATTGCTGTACTTAGGGCATGTAGACATGGCTGTGTTTGGATTGTGGCCTGTGTTCTGTGCCACTTTGTCTTTTCTTCTGTTTTTTTAATGACTGGTAATGGTTGTGGCTCAGCATTCTCAGAATGTGATTTAGAATGAGTTAAGAGATTTATTTATTTTTGTTGTTGGGTGGTTTTTTGTGTGTGTTTGTTTTGTTTTTGTTGTTGTTACCCTGAATTGTGCTCATGAGACACTAGGCAAAACACGTACACCTGTGATCTTAACCTTTGAAAGTTAAAGGAAGAGCATTCAGGAGTTCAAGGCCAGCCTCTGCTATGTAGTGAATGTGAGACTCATCTGAACTACAAGAGACCCGGTCTCGAAAATATAAAACAAAACAAAAAAGCACAAGACAATTTTCAGAATTGCTGTTGTTTTTTCAGAGACCTACAAGTATTACCTTATTAATGTGAAAATTGACACAGAGCTACTGAACTTGCTTCTCTTTTGTCCTGATGGCATCCCTCTGCTAGTTATTGGCAGCAGTTCGAATTGCTTGGTTCTGGTATCTTTTCAGAGTCAAAGGCCAGACTGCAATCTTTGAAGAAATGATAGAAGATGAAGAAGGACTTGTGGATGATAGAGTACCTACTACTACCCGGGGCCTGTGGGCAATAAGTGAGACAGAACGGTCTATGAAAGCAATATTGTCATTTGCAAGATCACATAGGTTCGATGTTGAATATGTAGATGAAGGAAGTGTTTCAATGGATCTCTTCGAGGCATGGAAGAAGGAGTATAAGGTACAGTTATTATAATAAAGGATAATGATACTTGGCAAATTCTTTTTATTAAATTAGTAAACAAAAATTATTGAACTGACACTTGGAGTTAATATTCATAAACCTTTGTTTAATTGTGTGTTTTATTCTATTATTAGCTGGATCTTAACAGCTGTTTTTTTTTTTTAATTTATATACATTTTCTTTTTTTTTTTAATTTATTTTATATGCATTGATGTGAAGGTGTCTGATCTTACGGAACTGGAGTTACAGACAGTTGTGAGCTGCCATGTGGGTTCTGGGAATTGAACTCAGGTCTTCTGGAAGAGCAGCTAGTGCTCTTAACTGTTGAGACATCTCTCCAGCCCCCTTAACAGCTGTTTTATGAAGCAAACATATGGCTTTATTTCATTTTTGCATGAGGAATAACACCCAAACATCAGTATTAACTTTGAATATTAGGGAAGAGAGTAGGTACTTTTCAAGATGGAAATATGGAAACCATTGCAATGGATACAGCGTAAGTTGGTCTTTAGTTTTATACCTCACTGATTCCATTGCTCTATAACTATATGAGATGTGCTTCTGGGATTTTTTGATTATTAAATAATTTTTCATATTAAATTGTTATCTTTGATCTTTGCATGTGAGATGGGTAAGGGGAGAGAAAGTATTTTTTAATTATAATGTTATGGTTCCATGTTACTACTTTTGTAATATTTTAAGGCAAAATAAAAGATTTTGTGTCGCCGGGCGGTGGTGGCGCACGCCTTTAATCCCAGCACTCGGGAGGCAGAGCCAGGCGGATCTCTGTGAGTTCGAGGCCAGCCTGGACTACCAAGTGAGTCCCAGGAAAGGAGCAAAGCTACACAGAGAAACCCTGTCTCAAAAAAACCAAAAAAAAAAAAAAAAAATTGTGTCAAATAAGATAAGATATATTGTCTAAAATGTCAGTTCATACATTTGATAAATTGAGGAATGATACTTTTATAAAGTTGAAATCATTAGTTCATCATATTTGCTATTATAAATGTAAAGTGCATGAACACAAGCCATTACAGTATACCATGGAAGGAAACATTGTTCTTACAGTGACCTGTCATTCTTATATTGTTTTCTGTAGCATAGTCTTGTTGCCATGTGCTCTGTGTCTAGATGACTGCTTATCATGCCTCTTTCCATCTTTGTACATTTTTCCTTTATAAATGAAAAACAAATGAGCTGCTGCTAGATCCATCAGCTAGTATCTACTTCAAAATGTTAGTAAAGAAAGCTTATCAAAATATTTATAGTGATTGATAACATTTTTATAAATTTTGGAGAAGTTGTATAAGTACAGTATTTTTCTAATGAAAGGTGGGATTAATACTAATTGCTAGTAATTAATAAATAATAATGAAGAGTGATAAATAATAATAATTAATAATAGAAATTGCCTCTTTGGCTTTGAAGGAGGAAATATAAGGAGATAATGATACTATTAAGACTTCCTAAGGAATTTGTCTGATTAACTCTTGAGTTTGATGGTGTAATGGTATGTGCTCAGTCATTTACTTCAGTAATCTTATTACCACATGTACAAATTATTTTGAATATGTGAATATAATATAAAAATATTTTAAGACAAACAGTGGTGATCACATAAATCTAGTATCAGTTTATGTAGAGCTTTATCTCACCACAAAATCTTTAGGTATTCTGTTCGTGAAAAACTGCAGCAGCAGCATCCTACAAGGTTATTTTCTCTTATGTCCTCATCCTGAATTAGCCTAAGGAATTACATTTCCTTGAACATTTAATGCAGAAATGGAGGCCTCATCAAAGCCTTTGCTCAAGGTACATCTCAGTGATTTTGAACAATTTGAATTCTGTGTCCTGCCACTGTCTTTCTCTTTCCCTTCAGTTACTTCATGAATACTGGATGACTCTGAGAAATCGTGTGTCGGCTGTTGACGAACTTGCCATGGCTACAGAGCGACTAAGAGTGCGCCATCCCAAGGAACCAAAGCCAAACCCACCTGTCCATCACATCATTGAACCACATGAGGTAGTTGAGAGTAGATCACAAAAAAGGCCACGCAACATCGAAGATGCACAGGAGACATAAAGTCAAAGCAGTGATGTCTTCTAGAAATAGTTACTGCTATAAGTATGAGCCATATGAAACAGTTTTTATAGGTCAGAAATGAGCAGTTTCATTCATATGTGATACATGCTTAGTGTGTCCACTGTTGGGGTACATTTTGTTTGCACATTCATCTGTTTTTTAACACTTTCTATGCCTCAAATCTAATATATTCTTGGCCACTTTTAAAAGTTTTTTTTTATTTCTTTTGATTTTTGATTTGTGTAGCCCTGGCTGTCCTGGAACTCACTCTGAGACCAGGCTGGCCTCAAATGCAGAGATCCTCCAGCCTCTGCCTCCCAAGTGCTGGGATTAAAGGTGTATACCACCACTGCCTGGCTTAGAAATGGAGAGAAGTATTTTATACAGCCTCAGTTTTACCAGAATTGGAAAACATGTTTTTCATAAAACACCAGAAGTTTTTATTCTGTAGGTTCTTCCTCTTTCTAATAGAAGGTGTTTACAATGTGAACTCTGATAATCCCCATTTGTATCAGGATTCAGTCAGAACTCTACCACTCCTTCCTGTTCCATAACAAAAATTTTATTTTTATCCTCTAGGAGAGTTTAATACTTTACATGGATCTCTTTTTGTAAAGCATTTAGACTGTAATTTTGAAAAAGTTTAAGATAATTTATTATGTTTTATGCTGTTAAGTATGAATTCTCAGTGATGTTTTTTCTTCTTATGTGTGTTTCAGGCTAAATTTACAGCACTACAAATGAAATAAACAATAAGGAAAATCCCTCTCATTTAATTCTCTTTTCTTTCTGGTGTACTCCAGAAGGGGAAGAAGAAAAGTCAGGGATAGTCTTCCTGGATGTCATAAAACCACTTTCAACAAACAGTGTATCATGTCATTATTATCATTCCATACATGAATTATTAAGAAGTGGCACAGAAATAGAATTCAGATTGATTTTTATCCAATTTTCCTATACATCATGATGCTTCCATTTAAAGAACTTCATGGAATTCTTTCTTCTGTAAAACAAAGAAGTCCTTTCAAAGTGTTTTCAGTAGTAATCTTGTAAAACTGAATTTTAATGTATAAATGGATTTTTATAAGAGAAGACGTGACTTTGCATTCAGAATTATACATGTTTAATACAGTTGAGAGAGAGAATAAGCTTTTTGTTTGTTTGTTTCTAGGTTGAACAGAACCGTATAAAACTGGTCAATGATAAAGCTGTTGCTACATCACAGCTTCAGAAAAAACTTGGACAGCTTCTTTACTTGACAAATTTGGAGAAGGTATTGCTTTTCTTAATGCCCCTTCCCCATATTATAAATTTCAAGAACCACTTTAGTGATAGTTTCCACTTAAAGTATTAGTCCTGTGGGGCTGGAGAGATGGCTCAGAGGTTAAGAGCACTGGCTGTTCTTCCAGAGGTCCTGAGTTCAATTCCCAGCACCCACATGGTGGCTCACAACTATCTATAATGAGATCTGATGCCTTCTGGCCTGCAGACATGCATGCAGGCAGATCACTGTATACATAATAAATAAATATTTTTAAAAAAGTAAAAATTAAAATTTTTTTTTAAAAAGTATCAGTCCTGTTATGAATAGTACAGACATTTTGCTTGTGTTATTCTGAGTCAAAAGTAGTTCTGTCTACAATGACTCTACAGACCCTCTGCCCCATCTTCTGCCTAGCTAGTCATGAACTGTTGTGTCTCCAGGAGCATCCTGTCCCTATCAGTCCAACCCATCCCAGAAAGTACCCAGGTGACCTGTAGAATTGTGAGAAAAATATGGTGAATTACTTTAAGCCACCATGTTGTAGGTGATCTGTTTTATGTGATCAAAAACAGATCAATATTAAGATTAAATAATTTACTCAACTCTTTTAAATGCCTGTATAAACTAATTTTTGGGTCTTTACAGTTACTGAGTTTAAGTACAGTCAGAGTTTTATTTTATTTTTCTATTACCACTTAGATGTTAAAGGTTTTTGTTTTGTTTTGCTTTTAATGTTTGAATATTTGGTTAGTGAAACCAGAAAGAATATTTTTAGTGATCTTCTATTCAATTTACCATTATATTGTCTTAGCTTTAAAGCTTGTCCATCTGGCTGACTTTCTAAAACTTGAAAATTTTATGAGAATTTTAAGGTGTTTAAAATCTTTTACAGTTTGATAGGATTTTTAGGCACAGAGGTCTCAAGTCAAGTATTTACTGCTCCAGTTATTTGCTTAGTGAGATCAAGCAGAGATGCTTAGAAGCAACAATATTAATACAGAACTGTACTAAATCACAGCCTCTTCCCACACCTGTCTTTGTATTATATATACATTATAGTACACACTTCTACATATGCATTATAGGTGCACACTTCTACATATACATTATAGTACACACTTCTACATGTGCATCATAGTGTACACTTCTACATGTGCATTATAAGTACATGCTTCTACATATACATTATAGCACACACACTTCTACATATGCATTGTAACTGCATTCTACATGCATTATAGTGCACACTTCTACATGTGCATTATGAGTGTACACTTCTGTGACATTTAAGGAGCCTTTTATTTAAGATGAGAAATAGATGATCTTATATAACCAGAGCTCCATCACGATACCTTGAACACCTGATTCAATTGCTTCTGTTTCCCAAGTGCTAGGATTAAAGTTGTGTGCCACCATAGCAGTTAATAATTCATATTTCTTTATGATAAAATGTAGTCTGAGAATAAAATTACAAAGATTTAGCTATTTGTATTTTGATTTTAATTTTGCTTTCAATTGTAATCACAAATATAGTACCATAATACTTTAAGGTATGGTAAAAAAAATGGTTTCCTTTCTTTAATTGTGTCCTGAATAAATTATAGAAATAATAGTACTAAGCAATACATAAAATATTAGCTCATCTCACTAATTAGATAATTCAGATTGAAATTACCAACACATACTTGTACAAATGAATTTCAAAGCATGCATCAAGTTCTAGATATAACGACATGGCTAACATGTTTTGGGATTCTTCCTTTTTCCCATAGTCTCAAGACAAAACATCAGGAGGTATTAATCCAGAGCCTTGTCCAATCTGTGCTCGACAGCTGGGAAAACAGGTAAAATTATATTAAGTATTACATGTGGTCATAAAACACCTTACAGTTTATAAGGCTTCTACATCTAGTCAGCCTTTCTCTGTTTTCTCATGCACGTGCACACACACATGTGCTTTCTCATAATTAAAAGAGGAGTATTTAGTTCTCATCTCAGAGATAGGGCCAGGGCTTAGTTGACAAGCTTAAGGCTACAATTGCTTAAACCATCTTTTTCCTAATTGAAAACTTAACCCTAGAACAACCTTATCTTTTCCATTAAAGATTCATAGTTGGGAATGTATTTCCAGATAAGACATTGTTTCTAAGTAACTTAATTTTGCCACATTCACGTCTTTGGTAATTGAACCAAGTATAAATAATATAACACACGTTTAGTGGGAAAGGTAGTACAGAGGCATAGTGGTATAGCTTTTAACAGTAGTCAAGTCTCAGGTCGGTCCCAGCTTAAAGGATGGATAGCTTCTCCTAGCAGAAGTTACATGTGTTTTTTGTTGTTGTTGTTTTGGTTTTTTGTTTATTTGTTTGTTTGGGTCTTTTGAGATGCTTTGGAGGAATTAAGCACAGTCACTTGTGCATGTTCGTGTAAAAATGCCTGCAGACATGACAGCACCATTTTAGTTCTCCAAGAATTCATATTTCTGTCCTACTACTGACTTATTCCTGCTTTGTAAATCAGCATAAACAGTATCAGAATTTGAGTTACTTTGGAACATTTGAAAGATAAGCCTACTCTTAATCAATAGATTTTTCTCTGTGGAAATAAATGTAGTTAAATGTATCATTTCTATGTTCTGATCAACAATAAATTGAGAAGAACCTTTTAATCCAACATTTACAGAGAAAATTTCTCAAAAGACACTTTGTAAATGAAAACAATATGTTCTTAAGTAAGGGGTCAGGCCTTGGAGGTTGTTTAGTGATAGTGAGTGTGCCTACCATGCAGTTGGCTCTGGGTTCAAGTTTTCACACCAAAAGAAGCAGAAAGGTGGAATTGGAGTGGGTCAGAATAGTGTCATTAAATTTAGCTTTAGTGAAATTCAATTGTCTCTGAAATTTTATTTTGTCTTCTGACAGTTTTTAAGTTTTTTCATATACATTATTTTATCCAATTCTAGTATTACCATGGTTTCCTGAACTTAAAATTGAATTACGAAAATAGTGATGAAACTCTAGCCCCGTGGTGGAGGGACTCTGTGTCCCACATCCCTGCTGATACTGTTAGAGATGTTGCCATTTGTTCTCAGAGCCAATGTAGTGACTGTCCTGTTATTCCCACTCTGCTCAGGTAACTCAGTGATTTCTTCCTGTTACGAAAGAAGGTGGACCTATCTTGCTCTGTACCTTATCAGTTGAATTTCTGTGAGTCACAAAAGTCCTATCTGTCTTATAAATATCCTAAATTTCCAGTGTCACTTGAGGTCCACAAGGTACTGAATAGTGCTGCAGTGGGAAGCAAGCCTGTATGAGACAGGTCTGAGGATTCTGGGTTAAGCCCTTGAGAGCATAGATGAAACTAGGGAGATAGAAAATGTGTTACCCAACTGAAACAAAATGAACTTCTTTCTCAGGAACTACTTTAAAACCATGCTATTTATCCCAATTTGTTCTTCCCCTGGTATGAATTGCTTTCTAAGGAGATTTCTGGACCCCTTTCAAAGTACTATCTGGCCCTTTCAGTACAAATACAGACATGTCCAAATCCTGGACAAACCAACACAGCAGACTGAGAGCCTAAGACCCCGTTGCCATAGAGCAGTGAGTGTTCCACAAAAGTTCCAGTTCCTGTGTCATTCAAAACAAGTCTGAAGCATTAATCCATCTCATTTTCTATATAAATGTGTTAGCAACTCAATCTAAATAAATTGAGTGGCAGTGAGTGTATTATCTCCAAATCGATGTTGCTCTCAGTTCTTCATTATCTGCTGTTAGAGTGCTAACGGGGTAATCTGAAATGAGAAGGCTAGCTTCTTATAATGGTTGACTAGTTAAGGTAAGTGAAGCTGAGAATTATGAAAATGTATTTTCTTAGAGTAAAATTCATCTGAAAGCATATTTTACATGAAATACTGGGGAATTGTAGTTGTAAGCCATCTCCCCTGTTTATGTGTTTGTGGAGAGGAAGGCCTCATTGACCACCTTCTCACCAAGACTTGTCATGTGTGTTTTCTTCTCAGTGGGCAGTGCTGACCTGTGGACACTGCTTCTGTAATGAATGCACGTCTATTATAATTGAACAGTACAGTGTGGGGTCTCATCGAAGCTCCATCAAGTGTGCTATCTGCCGCCAGACCACATCTCACAAAGACGTCTCCTATGTCTTTACCTCAGAGAAAGCAAACCAAGAAGATGACATCCCTGTGAAGGTAAAGTAGGTCAGACACACACACAGTCAAAGCAGTACCACAGCGGTTAGTATCTGATGAAGGAAAGCATTAAATAACCTTGACACGGTGAGTGTAGAAACCACTGTTCACTGTACACACTGCCAGGAGGCTGCAGCTTTATCACCAGCTTTCCCCTTGTGGGAGAGCTCAGCACACACTAACCAACATGACTAACTGCAGTCATGCCCACTAAGAGCTAAAGAATGCACTTCCCTGTCATTTATGCGATTTCTCTTCATTATAAAGTTTTTTTTAAAAAAAAAGCTTTCTTCTTATTTAGTCCAAACTAAAAGAAAGTGGATGGGCTCCTGGCATTAGTTGATTGTCATAGGATGACACAGTATGCTATAAAACACTGTGGACTGATATTTCAGAATACAGCTGAACTTGAGTTTATATTCCTAACTTTACCGGGTTTTATTCAGAATCTTAAAAAATTACTAATTCAGTGTACAAACAAGATCCACTGGACTTTCTATCTAAAGTGTGTTCATTTATTAAAAAACACTTATTAGGTGTTTCTGTTACTTATTTTTCTTACATGTGCTTTTTGAATTTTTTATCTAATAGACTTGGTCAAAAGGCAAATCAGTCTGTAAACGTGATAGACATTGGGGGCCGGCTGAACAAAGTAGACAATAGTGGGGCTGATGCTTAAGCAGGAAGCCGCTGACTCCTCATTAATTCCTTCTTCTGAGTTCTTGATGCTTATTTTTTAGGAATGTGTTTTTTTGAGTAGAATTGGAGGCAAGTTAAAGTTACTGACAGAATTAGGTGTTCCATAGAGTGTTCCTCCCAGGAAACCTACAGTTCAATTAAAGAATTGGTCCTTGCTTTTTCCCCTCTGATATTTGAGTAAAGTTTAAAGTGTCAATCTCATTGCTCTCTGGTGTGTTCAATTGGAACAAATTTCCATTCATTCTTTCCATGCATATTTGTTAGATATATCCTGTGCCCCAGGCAGTATTCTAGACCTTAGAGATGCGATACACAGTCAACATGTGGTTTCTATTCTCATGAGTTTTACAGTTTGGTGGTGGGAATGTGGAGAAGGAATTTGAGTTACAGCAAGAAGTACAGACATTAAACAAAAGATTTTTTTTTTTATAATTATGATAAATACTACAAAATAAAAGCCAACCTGAGCTTTTCTGAAGGAATGACTATTAAGCAGACAGGATCTAAATGATGAGGGGATTAACCAACATGGGAAAAGGATGGAACTGATATGTGGAGAGGAGATTCCCAGACAGAAAAAGAACACCCAGTATGTGAAAAAACCAAGACAGAAATGACTCAGACGAAAGTGAGTGGCTGCAGAGCAGTGGGCGAAACTGAACATGCAATAGAAGGACTGATGGGATGGGCACTTGGGCTTTAAAGCTTCACGATCTTTCTTGCTACAGTCTAGAAAAATCAGTTAGCAGGGATAGAAAAGAATAATAGAAAAAATTTAGATGAGTTTAGGAGGCCACAGCACTTGTCTACTTTAGAAACTTTAGGTTGATGGCAGCGGAGGTGGGAAGAGGTGGGTATATTCCAATACAACAGAATGTTGGAGATATAGTATTGGAGATCCCCCAGATTAGGTATCATTGCTGCTATAGAGGAGAAGTTTGAAAGGGAATACATTTCAATATTTATTTGGTGTATTTAATGCAAAGTTAGAGATATGAAATTCAGTCACTAGTATAAACGATCTTTGAAGCCACAGGCTGAATAAGACAACCTAAGGAAGAAATCAGAGGTTATGTTCAGGTCAAGCCCTATATCCATAACTTTTCAATGGTGACTGAAGGGACAGTGAAGGCTGGAAGAGGAGACTGAGAAGGAACTAAAGACATGGCAGTCTGGGAGAACACACCGTCAGCCAAGGCCACTGGGACAGTTCTTCAGCAAGGAATGCTTTCCCGGCTGTGGCTAGTGGAGATGGCTTCAGAAGGAACTCCTTCAGTGCAGTGAGTGCAAAGGAAATAGCAGAATAGGAAATCACGGAGTGCATAGGAACTGAATAAACACAGAGTGAAAATGACCAACTGTTGGTAAACTTAGAAATAGAAAACCAAGAATTGTAACCAGACACAAGTGTAGAAAGTCAGTTCTTTGTGTCCAAAATAAAAGATTTTTAAGCATGTTTAAGATCCAGTAAAAGGATACACAGGAGTCAGTGAGACAGCTTCCAAATGTGACAACTCAGTTCTATGCTGAGACTCACAAGGTAGAAGGAAAGCAGATTCCCCAAGTTGTCCTCTGACCACATGTGCACTGTGGCATGCATGTGTGCATGTGAACACTCACAAAATAAAAAGGATAGACTCAAAATACAGAGAGAAAGCTAATCTGTAGTATTAGACCCTTGAAAAGATAGAGTAATAGTTTATAAAAAGTAGAGATCTCATTGAATTCAAATAGCTACAGGTTGGGCTGTTGAGCAAACAAACTGTAAAAGTGTATATCTTTATCTGGAGTGATATAAGTGAGGTGAAGAAAAATAATGCTAAAAGAGGTGAGACTTGAAATCTACATATAATGTCTAAATCTGAGGTATATAGCAATTGTAAATTATATACTCAAGTGTTTAACAAATAAAAGATAGTGTTTAGTAAATGATAACAAAGAATAGAATTAGAGGGTAACTGAGTTTCCTGAGGATCATGAGAATGCAAATTTATTTGTATTAGGGACCAAAGAGAGTAATACTGATGCTCAAATGCAGAGCACAGAAAAATAAGCATTTTCTATTTAAAAGGGTCAAAAGACAAAAGAACAATGTTTCCACAAATCTAAAAATTTAATATATCTCTCTGTGTCTGTCTCTGTGTGTGTGTGTGTGTGTGTGTGTGTGTCTCGGTGTCTTTATGGTGGTGATGATGATGATGGTGATGGTCTTAAAGTACTTATTCTTCCAGTAAAAAAACAAGAATATAAGCAGGTAACTGGAAGGGTGAATACACAGTGCAGTTTGGGAAGGATAAATGAGGAGAGAGTCATCATGACCTAAGGATCCTCTAGTCTATCTCTGAATCCTTTGGGTGAATGTGTTTTTAAAGCATGGGTCCAGAGGTTGTAAAATGAAGTAGGTAACTGGATCATTCCAGTGGCCAGCCCTGAGGCTTTGGTGGCCACTGACCTACTCCTAAACTATTGTCCTTCCCTGTCCCTCCTACTCTCTCCATGCTCCTTTATTTCTCTCTCCTTCTCCTAAAGAGGGTATTGTTTTCGCTTCTTTTTCTTCTGCTGCAGGTATGCCAACAGTCACAAGTGGCATTGCTGGGTAAGAGGAAGCAGCTCATCTTTACACAGGGAAAACATTAATCACAGCACCAGGAACCAGCGTGAGGCAGAACTGCTATCCTGCTTTGTACAGGAGGTTTAGGAAGAGGTTGGTCTAGCGACCAGTAAACTGCCCAGCTGTGGCACTGAGTCACTGAACCCATCAGACCCAACACCTGTTCATGGATGGCAGCTTTCCTACACCCAGGACAGTTACGTTTGTTGCCCTGTTAGGAAAGGGATGTCAGTGTTGAAATACTACTATGTACTCTTGCTGCTGCTTGTCTTTCATGGACATTGGTGAACACATGAGTTAAACTATCTTATTTAGAAAAGAAAAGATTAGAGACTTTAGTAAAGGCAGTTTCTTCCTGCCATTGACACGGATATGCTTACATTTCTTTTCTCACTAAACATGACTAAATATTTTACGTATTACATAAACCAATCTCATCCCTCTTCCACTTTCTTACTTTACTTCTTACCACATTTGTGCTTGTTTCTCTCTGCTTTTTCTGTCACCATTTGTGTCTGCCACATCTGCCTTCTGTTACTTGTCACCTCTTTGACTCTGTCCCATTTATACCCTATTGTGTCTGTCACTTGCTCTTTCAAGCATCTGTGCCATGTGTTTTCAGAGTCTGCCTTCCTCTCTTACTTGGTTCATACGACTTCTAGACCCAGAAGTTCTTGTCTTTTATATTACTGTCAAGTTTTTGGTACTTAATAAACATCATAAATAGGTTAATTTCTATAACCTTAAGGTTTTTGTTTATTTCAATCTAAGTATTCATGATAAGACTTTTGTATAACAGCATAGTGCTTAATCATATAACTTGAGATCATATAAAAGATATTCAGAGAATGCAAAAATAGTAATATATAGTCTTTGACATTTTGTTTCTAATGATATCTTCGGAAATTGGAGATTTCAAAGTATAAGGTATCCTGTGGGTTAAACATAGAAATAAGATGTTGAGATTACCAGTATCCCTTTGGTGTATGCACTTAAATAAAAACTGTTTCATCCATAGCAACAGTGTGACAGTATTCCTAAGTAACCTTGGAACCTACTGGGCATTTCACAAAGTAAACAAAATTCCCCTTGCAAGTTCTGACAACTGCAAGGCATTTTGGATGTGATGAAGTAGGCCTCCTGGCAGAACATAGCCCCATGTGACTTGTTCCCCATGTCCTGTGTTTGGCTAGGTTTCATACAAAGCACTTTTGCTGGTATAAATCCAGTCCCTATACTGATTAGGATTCTTAGTTCATAAGTTTCTATTCACTGCAAAACATTATGCAAAGATATAACCACAATAAAACGACTTCCTTCCCAGCTACACACTATTACTTCATCATCTTTGTTCAGCCAGAGTGCCTTTAGTAATAGGCTGTTCGGGCTCTGTCTCAATGAGTTTGTATTTACTACAGATAGGGTATGATCCAGGATCTTTGGTTTTAACAAGTACATCTACTAACTAACCTTAGAGGTGTCTTATGGAACTTCATAGAGAAAATACTGCATTTACATTCTAATTCCAAGATAGTCAGTACAGCAATAAGATGCATTTATTAATAAGCAATAAGATGTTTATGAATTCTAGTGTTTGTTTTGTTTTGTTTTGCTTTTCCAGTTATCAAAAGTTTGGCTTGGCCATACTTTCCAAAATGTAATTAAATATCTGTGTAGAAAAGCTAATTAT